ATAGGGAATTCTGGGAGTTGAAGTCCACCCCTCTAAAATAGGGAATTCTGGGAGTTGAAGTCCACCCCTCTAAAATAGGGAATTCTGGGAGTCGAAGTCCGCCCCTCTAAAATAGGGAATTCTGGGAGTCGAAGTCCACTCCTCTAAAATAGGGAATTCTGGGAGTCGAAGTCCACTCCTCTAAAATAGGGAATTCTGGGAGCTGAAGTCCACCCCTCTAAAATAGGGAATTCTGGAAGTTGAAGTCCGCCCCTCTTAGAATTATGAAGGTTGGAAAACGCGGCTCTAAAACTGAGTTTTCAAATCAAAGCTGGGAACCAAGGCCGCCTCCCTCCCACCGTGTGAAAACTTTGGAGTGACCGGGGGTGGCCTGTTTTCATTCGCTTCCTTGTTCCCTTCACCCAAAACAATGACAAAATCGTGGGGGGTTTTGCAACCCAGGGCTCATGAACTCTTCCCGGAGATTGTGTGACCACGAGGACGCCGCAGGGTGAAAAGCCATCCCAAGTCCCTTTTTTTTTCAGGGCCGCTGTGATTTCCGTCACTAAAACGAACGGCCGTAAATTGAGGATGAATGGCATCCTAGCCAAAACAAGCCACAGATCATCCGACACCTTTCAAAGGGGGACGGGACTCAGTTTATTCCAGCCCTCCGATGGACGGAGGCATTTTGTCGCCGGCATCCGTCCAAATTCCCGACGTTGGGTGGTTTGCTCTGCTGTAACCGCTACGCCTGACTGCTTTTGTGAGTGAAGAGAGAGCCAAAGGGAAGGAAAATCGATGTGTGTGTGTGTGTGTGTCTTTGCAATGGTGTCCCCCCCCCCCCAAAAAAACTGCTGGATTTGTCACAAATGGTGTAGGGTCTCCTGCTTGGGTGGGAGGGTTGGACTAGATGACCTATAAGGTCCCTTCCGACTCTGTTAATCTGTAAAGAGCAGGCGTTGCCTTCGGAAGTTGTGGGAGCTTCATCCCTGGAGACCTTCAAAAAGAGATTGGACTGCCATTTATCAGAAATGGTGTAGGTCTTCTGCTTGGGCCGGGGGTTGGACTAGATGACCTACAAGGTCCCTTCCAACTGATTATCTGTTGTCTGGATTTATACACTTTGGGGCGCCCGTACAGGGATACAAAAACCCCAAGTGAAATTATTGGCACCGGGGTTTTTTGGGGGGCAGGAGACGAGGCCAAAGTTTCCTTGAGGATGAACGTGGAATAAAATCAACGTGGAATAAAATCAACGTGGAATAAAATCAACGTGGAATAAAATTAACGTGGAATAAAAGGCACATGTGGTTCCCCCAGGCCACCTTGGCAGGAGGGGTTTTCTTCTTCTGGGTTTTTGGACTTGGGGAGGGAGGGGAAGGGGGGGGGCTGCCCCGAAGCGTGAGAAAGGGATCTCAAGAGAGGAAGAAAAACAGTTGAGCAATCCCACAACCAGGACGAGACACACTTGACAGGTTGGGGAGGGAAACGGTGGCGAAATCCACCATTTGTTTTGAATTTGGGGTGATGCCTGGTGAGAACGGAAACAGGGGTGGGGGGAATGAGAAATCTTCTCATTCTTTTGAATTGGGCGGCTGAAGGTCACCCCCCCCACCACCACCAAAAAAAAACCTCGTTCGGCCCTGGAGCAAAGAGTCCGTCTAGATGGCCTCAGGGGGGTCCCCAAACGGTCCAACATTTTGCGATTGGACTCTTTTGTTTGGGTTTCCTTCCTCGTCTACAATGACCCCCTGTGATGGTTTGTTTTGCAGCTTGGTTTCCTGGCTAAACCGGGTTTTTGGAGTTCGTTCACTTGTTCCTTTTTCTCTTGGACGCAGACAGAGGACAATTTCCCGTTGTGTCGCAATTCTCAACTTCCCCCCAAGTGTTACATCTGTGACAAAAAGACACACATACCCACAAAACACCAGAGCCAGAGAGTTGGCAGTGTCATAGTCAAAAACAGAAAATGCAGATGAGAGAGGGGAGGAAGAGGGGGAAATACAAAAGAGAACGAAAGAGAAAAAAAGAGGAAGGGGTTTGGGTTGCAAAATTTCGTTTTATTTTTAAGTTGTTGTGAGGTTTTGAAGGCCTGTGTGAAGGCACCGATTTGAAAGCCTCACTTTCCAAGGGTGGTGTTTGTGTAGAGATTTAATTTAATTTTTTTTTAAAGTACAAGGAATTTCTTACAAATTCCCACACATTTCACTCCATTTAAAAAAGAAAACTGATTGTTATTTTATAAAACTGCCCTTCGGCTTGGCAAACCACCGGGACAAGGATGTAAAGCCAAATTATTTAAGGGGGGAAAAACAAAATTCAACCATGGTTTTAATCACAAAATAGCATTTATGCAGCGTTTAAAAATCTAAAATGAATTTTTTTTAATGCTTAGCTGTATTTTACATTTGGCCACACGAGGGCAGCATCGCTCTTATTTTTAAGAGGTTTTCATTCATTTATTATTTTTTTTGCTCCATTTGGAAAAAAAAATGATAGATTTTTTTTTTTTTTATAATCTTCAATTTACACAGATTTTTTTTTTGATCCATTACTCCTGTTTTGTGCTGAAAACTTAAACTTTCCAAAAATATTTAGCTTTTAGAGAAAAGATTCCAACAAAGGGGCCCCTTGGAGATGTAAAAATTTAGTCTAATCTAAATTTAATAAATTTAGTCTAAGAATTAATTTTATTAATTCTAATAAAATTTAGTCTAATTTAGTTTAATCCTGACTGGATGGAATAATTTTCCATTGTATTTAAAGGTGATTATTTCCTTATTTTCTTTTTCTTTCCTCTCCCTATTC